AATAGTTTTTACTAAGGCTATATAGAGATAGAAACCTGACTTTAATATTCTTTCCTTGAAAATGGCCAAAAAATCTTCAGGGTAGGCACACAAATATTGGGTCGGTCGGGTTAGCGGAAAAGATGGAAAAGTTGTATATCTGTTTGTTTAATAATTGTTGAATTCATATTGTAGACAACATTGCATATCATTTCAGAAAGGGTCTGTGTTTTTGAAGGAGTCCGGAGATTTAGCTGATGACAATACCAGCATTCCACTGACAGAGTGTGGTGCCATGCATGTCACTGACCCTGACTGTAAGGAGCAGATCATGGGCATCCATCCAGGACAAAAAGGTAATGATTATTAATAAGTTGGCATTAAAATGGCTTACTGCTTAAACATACAGTATGTATCTGGTAAATTCATTAGTCAGAGGAGTATTTCAGATGTTGAGCCATTTTCTATTTAAAATATCACAAAGAAAATATTGATTGTAGAGAAAACATTATAGCAGAAAAAGACTTGTTGGCAGCCGAAAATAAATTTGCTCTGAAGCTGACAACTGATTTTTATTAGAAATATAAAAGCTATGCCCACCAACAGATGTGAGTTTACCAACAGCAATTTTTTTAAGATATTGCTCAAATAAAATCTTATGATACATGTTGAAAATATGTTTTATTCTGTTTTTAGCCCTCACCAACTTCGCAGAGTCATCCCATAAGAATTGTTCACGTGACCATGAGGACCAAAATGACAAGGACAAACAGTTTGACATGGTTGATCAGGAGAACCCCAGTTCCGTGCTCAGCCATTCCCATCATAATCATGGACATTCCCACATACTGCCAACTTCTGTGGCGTCCATTGCATGGATGGTCATTCTTGGAGATGGAATCCACAACCTCTGTGACGGGTTGGCGATTGGCGCAGCCTTCTCAAACTCCATAACTGGTGGCTTCAGTACATCTTTGGCCGTTTTCTGCCATGAGCTACCTCATGAAATTGGTACGTTCCGTATTTTCTGTTAAAATATCTCTGCCTTGAACTGTCTTAGAATTTGACAGATTGGTAGTGTCTACAGTACTGAGTTTATTTTTCATAGTTGTATGTGTTGAAGGTTAGATATTTAATATAATCTTTTCAAACAGGTTTCCAATAACCAGTTTCCAAAAAATGTGCAGTTTAAAGTTACAGAAATCAAAACCTCAGGACAAAAATCACGCCAAGGAAAACCTGACTTACTAAGTATTTGGTAATTTTACAAAATATGAAAGTATTGTGCGTTGGAGACGTGAATTGTTTCAAAATAATATCAATAATATGTTTACATTTATTTCTATGGAAATAATTCTTTTCTGTTGAACATAGCGTGAACTTAGGACATGTTTATATAATGTTATGGATCCTTACTTTTGTGTGTGTTTTGTTTCAAGGTGATTTTGCTGTGTTGCTGAGGGCAGGAATGACGGTGAAACAGGCGGTCATGTATAACTGTGTGTCCTCCATTCTCGCATTGGTTGGCATGATAATTGGTGTTGCTATTGGAAATTTCGGGGACTCCATTACCTGGGTGTTCGTGTCGGTGGCGGGCATGTTCCTGTACATAGCACTCGTTGATATGGTGAGTCATCTGTAGAAATATTGAAAAGACATTGATATATTTTGCCATACAAGTGAAATGCATATTGCATTGAATTAGAAAATCATTTTTCTTTTTTTTAAAGTACAACGACGAACATATCACAGCATCAAAACTGCTTTGCACCATAATTCAATGGTATCATGTTTGACAAGGCTGTACGCCGTGCATTGTAAATGGGTTATTCAGAACAATTTTACTGTTTTCTACCGTTATTTGGTAAAAGCCATAAAAAAGTGATAATACCAAGCTTAGGTGTTAAAGTAGATGTTGTTTGTTTATTTCCGTAGTTGCCGGAGTTAACCGCCATGGACACGCGTCAAGGTGAACATCCATTTTCCCACCTTCTCATCCAGTTAGGCGGCATGATCCTAGGGACAACCATTATGCTCATCATCGCTCTGTATGAAAAAAACTTGATGAACATCTTGGAACCAGTGTAATTTCAGAAGCAGCTAGCACAATGTTCGTGGAGAAGTGACCAAGTGAGGAACTGTTATGGATCTGGTATAACTGGGAAACAGCCAGCACAGGGATCATGAAACCTGAAAGAAAAAGTCAAGATCTTTCATCTTACACATTCCTACTAAAATATTATACATATTGATACCTTGTGTCAAAGGCTTGCAGTCAGCAACATCTAAATGCAAACAAAATCTGAAATCTGTTTATAATGTTTGTCAAGGGAGATAACTCAGTTATAAAACCGTCTGATAGGTGGAATGATCAACATTGAATTAACATGTTACTTCTAAACCCTATAATCGGATGATGTCCTTTTGACCTTTGTTTTATATAACGATTTTTAGGTCACCTCAACTTCTTCTCAAGAACCAGTGGATGGATTTTTTTCAAACTTGGTCAGAATCATCCTTGGTAGATGAGGCTACAAAATTGTATAATTGGGATTCCTACCCCAACCCCTGGGGCAAAGGGCGGAGCCCCAAAGGGAAAATTAACCAATATTTCCAAAACCTTCTTCTTCAGACTCAGAGGTACTACAACTTCTTCTCAAGAACCAGTGGATGGATTTTTTTCAAACATGGTCAGAATCATCCTTGGTAGATGAGGCTACAAAATTGTATAATTGGGATTCCTACCCCAACCCCTGGGGCAAAGGGCGGAGCCCCAAATGGAGAATTAACCAATATTTCCAAAACCTTCTTCTTCAGACTCAGAGGTACTACATTCATTTTCTCTGCATGGAAAGAAAGATCATCAGGGGCTTTACTTAAATTGTAAATTTCAGGACCCCCCCAGCCATACGTTCTCCCTTGGGGAGGGGGTAAAGTTTACTATAGTTTATATAGGGAAATAACACTTTTGTGTATATTTTGACAACTTTCTGTAGGAAATTATTTTTACTTACAGAGAAGTATCCTTGGAGGAAGATGGTTTCAAATTGTAAAATTGAGATTCCTACCGCAACCCCTGGGGCCAGGGCAGCGCCCTAAAGGGAAAATTAACCAATATTTCAAAAATCTTCTCCTCCAGACTCAGAGGTACTACACTCATTTTCTCTGCATGGAAAGAAAGATCATCAGAAGCTTTACTTAAATTGTAAATTCCAGGACCCCAAGCTATTCGTTCTCCCTTGGGGAGGGGGTAAAGTTTACTATAGTTTATATAGGGAAATAACACTTTTGTGTATATTTTGACAACTTTCTGTAGGAAATTATTTTTACTTACAGAGAAGTATCCTTGGAGGAAGATGGTTTCAAATTGTAAAATTGAGATTCCTATCCCATCCCCAGGGGCTAGGGCAGGGGCCCCAAAGGGAACATTTACCAATATTTTTCAAATTCTTATCCTTTGATGACATGACAAGTATTGTATTTCACTTAGTTTACATGCTGATTTCCACATCACATCTAAACAATAAAATAAAGCTACCAGTTAAGATATTCAAGGGCCATCATCCAAAGAAAGCTCTTCCAGAAAATGATTTTAGCTTTATTTTGAAATATTACTCTAGGGCTGATGTGTGTGATTTGAATGTATGCCGAAAACATTACCCAACATGTTACATGACTAACCTGCATGTAATCTCATATTGAATACTGTATGTTGACATTTGAATATATGTAGCTATATCTATACAAACTGCATATTTTTATTCCATAAAACATGATAATCTCATTCTGAGAACCAATGTAAATCAAGGAAGATATAAATGTATACATTAGGTAGTTCATTTGGTATGTTGTATAGGCACAAATGCAAATTTTGAAATTCTGGCTTTCACTGCCCACTGTACATAAGTCAGTATGTCACTAGATGGTAGATATACTCTAAACAAACTTTAATCTTTAAGGCAAAAACTTCTCATCCAAAAAATACCCGGTACATAAAATATGTTCATATTTCCAAACAATTTTAATATCTTCAAAAAATTACCACAATATTGAACACAATTGTTTTCCAACTGTCTTTTATGTAATCCTATACTGTTTTTGCATTTTTACTTCATAATAATTTTTAGAAGAAAAATAGTGCAATGATTTAGAAATCGACAGAAATAGCAATATACTTTCCATTTAAGTACACATGTACCCGTTTTGGATTAGAAATAAACTGTGTTTGGTCTGCAATGATGTGAAATCCAGTAACACTAACAGGCCATTTTATCAAAATAAAGGGAAATATTAAATAAATGGTCTAATTAGAAAGAAATATGTAGAGGCTATTCCACACATAAAAAATCATTGGGAGCATTTATAATTGATGGTGGGTTTGAAATAATTATTGTATCAATGGAGATACATTAGGTAAAAAATGTTGAGGTCTTCAGTTGACTTTCCCATTTAGTATTGTCAACATTTTTCTTTAAGTTAGACGATCAAGATACATGTCAAACAGACACGATCTTTCAGCGTAGGAGTCAAAGCTAATTTGTTGGGTCAAATGTATTCATAACATATTGGATGTAATGGGTATTATTCATTGATAACAGGGAAGCTATGTGCTGTATTGAGGATATATCTGTTAGATTATATTATTAAAGTTTGAATCTTATTTTGTAAAATTATTGATGAGGATAACTGACTAATGTGTAGTTAAAAGTTTTATGATATTTTGTACATCAGCATGGTCTCTGCTATGCTGAAAGTTTGATTTGGCTAAGAAAATTGCTTATAGCACATTGTTTATATATACAACCTGTTTTGCTCTCGCCATTTTATATCATTCTTATATTTGGATATATATTACGGAGGTGAGTATTAAGTTGCGTACTCATACACTCAGAAACTTTAAGCGTTTGATATTTGATTTTTATAGTTCAGAAAAGGTTATTAATAGTGAAGCATGGTACAGATTGTTCATGGTATTATCAAGAACGTACTGGTATGCTTTATATTTTTTTCACTTTAGGCAAAAGTAGGTATAATAAAACAGAATGCAAGGGGACAAATGACTTCCTGTTATAAACTTGGAGTTATGAGCGGTAATTCTTTTGTTCTCACACACTTCTTCATTTTACGAAGGAATAACAGGAATAACATTGCATTTAAGTATTTAGATTTTAAATACATTTTCTGTGATGTTTATTCCTTCTGATACAATAATAGTAAATAACCTAAAAATCGAACTGTCAGCTACACATTTTGAAATAATTTGGAAATGAATAGCTTTAATTGATGACATATTCAGATTCCCATCATTATAACTGTCATCGTTAAAATCCAAGGGTTCCACTTACTATATATAACTTCATGTATATAGATTATGCTTGAGTAGTGTAGGTGTTTGTATATGCTGTAAATCCTTGTATGACATTCCAGTCCCACTGCCTTGTTTGGAAATCCAGTGCTAATATTTGATTATTGTTTAGCTCACCTGGCCCAAAGGGCCAAGTAAGCTTATGGCATGGTTCGGCGTCAATATTTTACTTTAAACAACTTCTTCTTAATGACTGCAAGTGTTAGGGTGATGATATTTGGCCAGAAGCAAACTGGGATGAAGAGCGACAAAGTTTGTTCAAATAAATTACCTTCACTTATTTTCAAGGTCACAAGGGTCAAATATGTTAAAAACTTTAAACAACTTCTTCTGAATAATCAAAACGCCCAGGGTGATGATATTTGGCCAGAAGCATGCTGGGATGAAGGGCTACCAAGTTTGTTCAAATGAATGACCTTAATCCATTTTCAAGGTCACAGGGGTCAATTGTCTTAAAAAATCTTCATACAACTTCTTCTGAATAACTAAGAGGCCTAGGATTATGATATATGGCAAGTAACATGGTGGGATGAAGGGCTACCAAGTTTGTTCAAATGAATGACCTTTACTTATATTCAAGGTCACAGGGGTCGAATATGTTTGAAAAGTTTATACAACTTCTTCTCAATAACCAAGAGGCCTAGGATTCTTATATTTGGCAAGTAGCATGCTAGGATGAAGGGCTACCGAGTTTGTTCAAATGAATGACTTCGAAGTATATATCCAAGGTCACAGGGGTCAAATATGTTAAAAAAACCTTTAAACGACTTCTCAATTAGCAAAATGCCAAGCATGATGATATTTGCCCATTAACAGGCTGTGATGAAGGCTACCAAGTTTGTTAAAATGAATGACCTTCGCCCATATTCAAGGTCTCAGTGGTCAATATATGTTTAAATCTTTAAATGACTTGTTCTATATAACCAAAAGGTCCAGGGTAATGATATTTTGCTGGGTTGGAAGACTATAAAATCTGTTCAACCTAATGTCCTTGTTCGACATTCAAGGTCACAGTCGTCATATGTTTAAATCTTTTAATAGGTTATTATGAATCAAACACTGTTATTCTGCCTCTAGCTGTATTTTAGTTCACGTTTAAGATAACAAGTGTGAGATTAATACCAGGTGAGCGATTCAGGCACATTGGGCCTCTTGTTATTAATGCAGTCAAATGTTTTACATGTATCAGTATAAGAAAAAAGTATATGATTTGAGGATAGAGTAAGTCACTGTTTCCTCTTTTCCTGATGTGATCTGTGAAGGCTCTAAATATATTTACTGTATAAAAATGCTGATATGTAATAGTTAAATACTGTATACTGGGAAATTTTGGCTGCAGTTTAATTTTCACCATTTTTGTCCTCTGCAATAAGGGCGAATTTATCATTACAGCGAATACAAGTACACAGTTTGCCCTATATAGTATATAGTAATTGCATGTGAAGGGCGAATATTCATGTCAAACACATATTTTGAACAAACTAGTAATGTTGCCTGTACTGTCACAGTATGGAAATCGTTGAATATGTCTCACCTTTTAATCCGGACAACCCTGATGTCAAGTCCATAATTTTGTAATCAGATTGAGAAATGTAACTTAATTCATTCACCCCTGAAATTGCATAATGAACTATTCCAACCTTTGAAGTGGAAGAGTTCCAATGTGTCTTCAGGGGTGAGTGAGTGAATGTACAATTTGTAGTCATAAGGTTATATGAAAACTTCAGATCATTTTGACATTTTGATGTTTTTGACAATAATTTATTACAACAATCATTGTAGTAAAAGATATTAAAGTTTTCTTTTTTATTACTATTCCCGAAAC